ACAACTGTTTGCCGAGAAAAACGAGGTATTGTCTGCTATATCGTAAATACTGAAAAGAGATAGGATTAAACAAAAGAGATTATGAGGTAAAAGCACGCGACGCACTTTCAACGTGCGATTCTCCATACAGCTATACGGATATTTTTGTGCAAAACGGGCGAATAAATCCAAGAAAAGACGCAATACATCACTGAATAAATTAAAAGTACCTGCAAGTAAACTCATTGCTTATTACTTATTCTTATTAGATTACATTTGTATATGTTTAAGTGCGACAAGTATGGAACATCTAAAACATTAAAGACATTGTCGGTAAGTGATTATTCCAATTACGGAAATCCTCAAGCGTCGACGTAATAGTTACTACATGCGGTCTCGACTATGCTGACTGCATATATAGAATACAGAAAGTAGTAAAAATCCCATCAAAAAGTGTCGTGTAAGACATTATATCAGCAGGTTTTTGTATTAAATCCCGTGTCGGAGACATTATCTTTGCACGCAACATGCAAATCTAAAGATAAATGCATCATACCTGATTACTGATTATACACGAACGTGTAAATCATACGGTAGCGTTAATGTCATTCTTTCAACGATGCTTACTTTTTTTATTATTATGTACACGGTGGTATAATTGAAATAACTAATTATGGTACTAGATTTAATGACATTTACATTATAATTAACTACTACGATTGTTAATGTTGTACAAGTAATCATGGATATTAAAAATGTAATTTCTCTGATCTAGCTGATTATTTTTTTTCAAAAGTCTAACATTAAAAACAGCTACTTGATTCAAGAGAAATATTCTTGATCTAAGAAACTATTCTTGATTCAAATAAATTTTATTTGATTTAAAAATTTTTTTACTTTATTCAAGATTAATTAAAGTCTTCAAAATTATGTTTTTGATTCAACAATTTTTCAAGTTAATTTTTTTATCAATATATGATTAGTTTGGGCTTTACAAAAAATCGACTTTCCATCAGAACTTTTCGTCCCAGTGTCAAGAACCTCACAAACCGCATTTCATCCTGAAATTATTTTCGGCATCTCTTTAGTGTCTATATATATATATATATATATATTAAACTAAAACATTGCTGAAATTATCAAAATTCCAACATAGTAAAGTGATCCTTTGAGATCGAATTCTATTTCACTCATCCTCGTGATCAATATGGAACAAAGTACTATTTTCCTTGATGCACAAATCCTTCGGCAGTCCGGTTCGGTAATATGTTAAACCTCCAGCAGCATATAGGACAAATTAATTGATCGAGGAGACAGAGAGGCTCAACGTTAATGCTCCGATTCCGATGTCCAATTGCTATTTCTAATGTAATCGAATTTGCATCGCAAATACCGGTATCCAATGTCCAGCTATACACATAACGCCGCTGATCTCCGTGGGTGTGTATGCGTGTGTAAATGTGTAGGGACGATGTGCTTTTAGAGTTTATGCGTATACAAGGTAGAATAGTAGCAGTGCGTACTATACTCAACTATATGCCATACAGAGTACAGCACGAGCAATCCCAGCAATCACGGATAGGAGCCAACTTTTTAATATCACAGGATTTTCAAACGAAAATTAAACGTGAAACAAAGCGATTGTATATGCAGGACAATGCAACGTCCAGCCGGAATATATTGTTTTTCAAGCAGTTCGAATTGTCTGCTGGTCAGTATATCCCATTTATGATGGATCAAAATTTTTGATAAGCCCCGATATTAAAACTACAATATCCAGTGATGTAATTTCACCTGCCAAGAGTACACCAATAACGGCCAACAAACAAAGTTAAAGTCAATAAATTTTTTAATTTATCGTTTTTATTGTTTCGTTTAATTTTTTTTTTTAAACTTATTAACTAGAAAATATTTTTTAAGTTTTATTTGTGAATTTTATACGAACAAACAAAAGCAGCCAATTAAAAGTATGCTTAATAATATGATAATGAATAAATTAGTTATAAAAAGATATTTTTAATAAATTCTATTGATAGTTTCTTACAATTCTTGCGAGTTAATTTTTTTTCTAAATTTATTAATCAAACACGGAAAAAAGAAAAAGGGAAAAATTATATTATATCATGTAACGTGGCGCTTCATATAAAAAACTGGAAAAATTACAGTTTCAGATTGTAATTATTACAGATTTTGTAAGAATTACATTGTAAAATGTAAATATTACATTGAAAGCTCTGAAAATTGACATTCAAAGTTTGAATTGATGACAATGTTATTTCAAACTGCAATTTTTCTAGTTTTTTATACAAAGCGACGCTTATTACTATTTATAATATAATTTTTACTTTTTTTTTTTACGTGTAATTTAGTTTTTAAATTGTTTTTCTAAAAAATGACATTTATTATATATACTTACAACTAACTATAATATTCGACTTAACAAAATAGCCTAATTTTTATAAAATTCGACTACCCCGGCAACGAGCGGTTTGTATAACCCTTATAAATTATTTATTTCTTCAGAAGAAACACCAAAAATTCTGGTCTACCTTTTTACCTACATTTTCCAGCTAAAAAAAGAAAATTAACAACACTTGAGCGTAAAACAGTCCTTATGCTGCCATCTACCCCTTCAACTGGAACTCGCTATCAACGAGGTCCGAATGATTGTCCTTACTCTATACTTTCGCTCAGCTATAGTTTCATGCTATAATTTGCAATGTAATGCTCCTGTACCAGGACCGTAGCTAATGAAATCATACTTAAAGCCTGATTAAAAATTATTTAAAAAACAAATACATTCCTATCAACCTAATTGATTTTTTTTTTTTGATACTCTTCTAACAAAACAAAGTGAAAAAAAATTTTTTTATATAAGAACCGTATTTTTTTCTGAATTGACGGATTCAATAAATATCTAGTTAATTGACTTTCCAGCGAACAAGGTGATGAAAATGACTAACCCTCAGAACAAGGACACCGTTTTCTGGTTTTATTTATTCTTGTATTGATATTGATACCAGGAAACTAGTCACAAAAAATCGTATAAATCACTTGGGAAGAATAAGATAAATTTTTTACTCCAAAAAATGAAAAAGATTTTTTAAGCCGTAGTAGAGCAAAGTGCTTGACAACAATAGTGAAAACACTGCCTTGGCAACACCGTAAAGAATTAAGATTCATCCGAACCGCAATTGTATAGGTATGAGCTTTAAGATAAGATTCAAGGCATAATTTGGTATAGATATATATTTACATTGAATATATAAAATGCACTACACACGTGTACGTGTAAAACTTGACAGATTGATCCAAAAGTGGGGAAATGGGAGTTGTGTGTTAACTGACAGAAGTGGGGGCTTAGTCAGGCCATAGCTGCGCGAGTTCGATTGAGTTCTCAGTTGGATTGTGTAAGTGGTGCTGTGCGTACTGTACGTCCCTGTTTGTTCTTGCTTCATGACAACTAACATTTAACTAATTTTATTGTTGGTCTTTAAACAAAGACTGATTTGCGAATTTACACGCATTATTGTAAGTACAATTTTTTTATCAATTTATCTTATAATTAAAGTTGTTATAGCTAATTTTTATTATTTTAAATATATTTTACTCTTTTTTAGAGTGTTGAATTATTTAATTGCAATGAAAAATAATAAATTTTTAAATTGTTTTTTTTTTTTTAATTTTTATCAATTAAAAATTGATACTTTTGTTGTGAAAACTGATTTCATAAGAAAAGTTAATGCTGAATTTAAAAAGGTATATCATAAGATTTTGTTTGTGTGTCGGTGTCACTGAAAAGTGTATACAAATATATGAAAACGAGTTATCACTGAAAAAAAAGGATTCTCTTTTTATTTTAAGTGATGTTTTTGATCATGTTAGTAAAGATTGACCGTAAAAATTGTCGGACACCTGACATTGAATTTTATTTCAATCAGCGAAATTTATTCTTATTGTAAATTAATTCAATAATTTTTTACTGGAGTTCTTTAAACGTTTTATTAATAATTAAAATAATTTTACTTTGGAGTAAAAAAAAATTTTTTACAATAAATTTATTTTGGAGTAAAAAATATTTTTAGCATGAAAAATAATTATTTCACTCATTAATAATAACTAATAATTAATAAATTAATAATTAATTTTCAGATGACTTTTTATGCTTAATTTTTTATAAAATTCGCTGGTAGCCCTATAATAGCGTGAATATGTATTATATTAAATTTAATACACCATGCTGTGGACTGGCTGAATTTACGACTTGTCTATGCCCAGTTGCACGTGTATAAATGTATGTGTATGAGTAATACGTATAACTAGAGGGGTAAAGCAGAATACACTGACTGTTCAAGCATTATTATCACTCATACTAAGCTATGTAACATATAGATACAGAATTAGATGTACATATGTATGTATATAGATGGACGGATTCTGGTGGCACACGACAATATGATTAAAAAACCAACCGGCATTCTTTGATTCTGTCTTTAATTTCTATCAGGGCTCTGTTATTCCTTGTAGATAATACAATTTCATTTATTTTTCTCTCATCTCATATTTTTCTTAATATTAACTCTTGATTTTTTTTTATCTTATTTGGGTTACATTCTATTTATAAACATGAGTTTAATATAAAATTTTTTTTATGAATACAAATTCACTCAGTTATTTATTTACTATTAAAAGTACCTGTGACTCCGTCTTATCTTTTAAATAAAATTTTTTTATGAAGAAATAATAGAGGAGTAATTTTATTTTTTTTTTCACTGCTAATTAGAGTAATTATTTATTTTTATTGAATTAAAAAAAAATTAACTTGATTAATTTTTAAACTTTAAATTAATTATATTACAAAATAAATAATCCAACTATTTTATTTAAACTCTAAAATGTAATCCTAAAAAATTTTTTTGATAAAAATTGAAATGATTTAAATCTGATGAAAAATAATAATTAATTAATTTTTTTTCAGTTGTGGTAATAACTAACACCCGAATATAAATAATGAACGAACAATGGAACAAAAACACAAAAAAATTTTAGAAGAGCTTCATGAAAAATTAACTGACATTGACGTTCATAATGGCATCTTAGAATTCCTAGAGGACAACGGAATTTTAACACCTGAGGATTTAATTAATATCAATAGAGAAACTACTTCAATAACGAAAGCAACTCTCTTGCTTAGTATTTTACCACAGTATGTATATTCAATAACAATGAATTCACTACTCATAGATTGTAATTTATAATTATATTAATTATTACTATTGATTAATATTATAGCCGAGGTTCACGTTCGTTTGATGCTTTTTTTCAAGCGCTAAAAAAACACTACTCTTGGCTGAGTAACGAAATGCTGAAAATGACATCGAACAGAGAAGAATCGAGGACTTGTACTTCGCCTATATTACCTATCATTCCCTCACTTACAGTGGACAGAGCCGATAAGGTAAAACTTGACATAAATTTATGACAATTGCAAAAAAATATCTGGTGATTTTCATAGATCCGAAAAAATATAAGTTGTATTACGCAAACTGTAATTCAAAATAAAATGTTAATTATATTTTAAGAAACTTCGATAAAAAAAATTTTTGAGTAAATTAAAATTTTTTAACAAGTTTATTGATATCATTAGATAATCATCTTTTATAATTTGTACCACTGAGTTTAACTCTTTAATTTTTAATTTTCAATTTTTATACTCAAATTTATACTTTTCTATATTTTTCATAACTATATTCCGAATTTAAGAAAAACAATTATTTCTTAATCCACTCTTATAATTTAGATGAAAAATATGAAAATATATACATTGATGAAGACATTTTATTCGTAATGTGATTGGTCAAATATATCATAAGCATGAAAATATAGATAATTCCATACCAACATTCACACGCGCGCTTGCGCGCGCAACGTATACTAGTATCTAAAATTTTTGAAATTTTATATCTTCATTATTCATACGTGTACTTTTATTGTAATTTTTTTTGTATACTTTTGCCATTTGGCTATACTGCCTAGGCATTGAAATTAAATAATAAATAAATAAATAAATAAAGATATAAAAAAAAATTAATAAAATTTTTTTTCTTTGCCATCTATTTGGAAAAATAATTTTTGTAAGTAAAATTAAAAAATTGAGAAAACTGCCAGCCCGTAGTAATTAAATATCTCTAAAAAAATCCTTTAAATAAATGAATTTTAATTATTAATTAAGTTTTTTTTTAATTAATAAAAATAAATTACAGGTACAACAGCTCAAAAACGCGTTCAGAGAATTATCACCAGGGCGTTATGTTGTTTTACATGGAATGAAAGGATACGGAAGAACCCGATTGACAGCTTCGACTTTGACCGAAGAAATACGAGCTGAATATTTCAACGTTAGTAATAAAATAAACTAAAAATAAAACAATTTTATAAATAATAAATTTAATTTTTTAGAACAAAATTCACTGGATAAAATTTGGCTCTGAAGGCATTCACTCCGTGGAAGACGAGATTCTAAATCAACTTCAACAGCTGTATGATACAATTGAAAACCGCAACGTATCATTGAACATCGGAAAACTGCAAGGTGAAATGCGGTGGATGTTGAAACGACACTTTAGAACTCCATCACACCGCGACTCATTGCTGATACTCGACGACGCATATGACCAAAAAATAATCGAAGCGTTCAACTTCGACTGCAAGACGTTGATAATAACAACCGACACCGAAATACTTCCACCAAATTACATCAATAGAGTCGCCACTATAATAAAAATGAGTGGATTCACGGAAACAGAGAGTTTGGAATTATTTGCCCGGGCTCTGGATACACAGGTCGAATTACTGCCTCCCGAGGCTAAAGACTTCCACAACGCCTGCAAAGGCATGCCAATAATGGTCGACATGTTTGCAGCGCAATTTGCTGGTTACAAAGAAGACATGAAGACAAACAGCAGCCGCTGGAAACATTATTTAAAAGTGCTGCGAAAGTTAGATTCATCAAATTCCGTGGTACAGAAGTTTTTGAACTTCCAATCAACCACGTTCGACATCTGTATCAATCGTTTGTCAGAGGAGCAGCGGAAACTTTACGAAAGTTTGGCTATTTTCAGCGAAGACATAAACATTATGTCAAAAACGCTTGGAGTTTATTGGAACAAATCGACGTTTGATGTCGACGATATAATGACCAGTTTGCACAAAAAATCGCTTATTGTAAAATACTGGAACGCTGATTTGAAATCACTAATCTACGGCGTACACGATCTACTGCTTTCTCACCTATGCAATCGAATCAACAAAAGAGACTCCCAAAAATTGCGATTAATGCATCGCGATTTCGTTCATAAGTATTATGACTATTGCAAAAACGATTACTCAAATTTACCGCAGGATAATTACAGCTACGCGTATATTGGGTACCACCTAGATCAAGCCCGTATGTACGCTGACTTCCCGAAGCTGTACCTGAACTTTGATTTTATTCAAGCCAAAATACGTAACAGCGGTGTAAACGATTTGCTGATAGACTTGAAGAAATATCGCAGACACATCATCAACGATGAGACTGAAAATAATGTCATTGATTTGGAAGAGTTTCTACGAGCTCAAGCGAAAACTTTGGCGGAACATCGTCAACGCAATTGCCTGGACTTGGTACAGATAGCTTTGAATCATCACACTCGTGGTTACTGCTACAAAACCGCCCGTTCATTAGCGCAATCACAAAAGACTAAACTGTACCTGAAAAATTCTCATCAGCATTTCGTTATGCACAATCCAACAGCCGAAGACATTAAAATGGAATACTCTACACTCAATTTTACGGACAATCCACATAAAATTTTGATAGGAACGAAGACTGGTTTAATTATACTGTGGGATTGCGAGCTAAAGAGAATGACGCCATTTCACGGTCTGGAAGATTCGGAAATTGTCAAGATTATAGTGTCACAAAATGGAAAATTTTTTGTTGCGCTAAACAAAGATTCGGTTATCAAATACTTTCCTCTGACTGTTGATGATGAAGATGATGATGATGATGATGATAATGATAAGAAGAATGATAATTACTGGGGTAATCATTCACACACACCGTTGGATAAACAGAGATATTGGTACCCGATTGTTCAGCAGCCGACTAACAATAGTTCAATAACCTACGAAACAAACGGCCAAGTAATAACCGACATCGCGCTGAGCTCAGATGACGAGAAACTCGCTGCTTGTACAACTAAAGGTAGTGTTTCTGTTTGGGATGTAAGTGATAAGCATTTAACGACAATAGCTGAAGCAGATACGAACTTTCAAAAATTGACATTCGCTAAAAAGATCAAGCAATTGCATGTGATTGATACTGAAGGCACTAATTTCGTCTATATTTGGAGAGACAATAATTACATTTACAATACTCGATACTCACAGTTCAGAAATTTTAAAGGTTCCTCGGAAGAGAAAGTTGTCATATACTTCAAAGAAAGAATCTACGATAGTGAAACGGAATATGAAACAGTTTTGATTTGTTTAACGCGTAAAAATTGTTATATAATATCATGGGGAATTGGAATTAGTGGAGATTTATATTCCCCAGAACCAAGACGCAGGTATACTGCAGACAATACTCAATTTACTGTTGCTACAGGAACATACGATGGTAAATATGTAATTATCGGTGATAATAACAATTTGTTATCTGTATTAAAGATTGAGGGTGGATTTACGCCAATTGCTAATTATCCAGAGCATACTTTTGCTCTGGATACTTACTATGATAAAGAATGTGACTGTCATTTGATACTCAGCGGTGATAAACATTCCATTCAATGTTGGACATTTTGCCCTGAAAATTTACCGCAGTCGGTTTTAAGACCGTTGTTTGACGCTGTTATGAAACCATTGAAACAATCAAATATTGTTGCGCAAGAAATTGTTGGGAATAAAATCGGATTGTACAATGGTGAAGAATTGCAAATAGAAACAGGGGTACTAGAAGGACAAATAATATCATTGAGTTTAAGTCCAGAAGGCAATAAAATACTGTATACAATGAAACATTCTACAGGGTTCCGCGAGGCAGAAACTATCGAGTATAGTATTTATGTGTTTGACGTTGAGACAAATGATACATCTGAAATATTGTCATCGCTTACAGAATTTCCGGGTTATGTTAAATTTATTAAATTTCATGATGAATTGGCGATTGTTTGTAAGCAAAATGATATTTTACATTGCATTTCTGATGAACAAAAAATTACGATTAGAACAGAAGGTAACATTATTAATTTACATACCATTAACAATGAGTATGTAGTTGGTATCACGCGTGATGAAAAAGTTAAAATCTGGAAGATGAATACCACCGCGTGGGATTTAATCTGTCAAGCTGTAGATACTGGACAAATTTTACACGAAATTCAGCGGTCTATTGTCCTTTACAGTGCAATAAATTTGGAAAAAACTATGATTGCTGTTTTGACAAATGATTGTCGATTGGCTTTTTACGAAATATATTACAATTCTAAAGTTCCTACAGTACCAGAAAAATTGAATAAATATGAAAATACATACTTTACATTCTATAAAAAATTAACATGCTGCGCTTTTTCTCCCAATGGTGAAGTTTTAGCTATTGGAATGGAAGATGGTAATATTACAGTAAGTAATCGATTAAATTTGATAATTATTGATATATTTTTCCTGACCAATTTATTCATTTATAATTATCCTTTCAGATTTTCGATTTGAAAACATTTAAAGCTCATCCAAAAGAATTGTCGCTCCACCAAAACTCTATTTTACAACTACATTGGGCTCCATCAACAGTAGGAGCTCCTATCTTACTATCAATAAATTGTGACGAGCTAGCTTGGTGGAATGTTGCCTTGATAGATGATAATTCTAAGAAAAAAGTCAAGCGTAGTAGGACTGGAATAGTAAGAAGCTCAACAGTACCAATTTTTGGCTTTGAATCATTATCAGGTACACAATTGCGTAATAGTCAAACCGCGGATGCCAATTTATCAATTGCGTCTACATCAAAAATTTTCATCAATAAAAATAAAAATAATAATGATAATATTCTTACTGATCGTAGTATTCCTATTGATAATGATATTGATATAAGTAACGGTAACAATGCAATTAATGGTAATGATACACGTGATAGTACAGAAAGTCAAGAAGCAATGCCAAAATATTGGATTTCAAAGACTTATAAAAATCAAAATCGACCAGCATTATTAGGATTAATACGCTTGCCACCTAATTGTCGTGCTAAAGTATTTGTTTCTAGTGACTTTCATAAATTTTTACTCGTCGATGTTCATGGTACTATCAAATGTTTTGAGTTATTTGAAGTTTCTTCGAATTTGTAATTAAAATTATTTAATTTGCCATGTTCAAAAAATTACCAAATATTTTTTACGGTTTTAAATATTTGGTATATATGATCTTTGGCTGTTTTTAATGATGTCGGCTTGAATGCGCATTTACAATTTATTTTCTAATGCAATATCTCAGTAATTTTTGACTGCCTTTTTTTCTCTTTATCAAGTATGTTTTTTAATATTCCTCTTTGTAAGTTTAAGATTTTGTAATTCCCGTTATTTTAAGTTTCATCATCTACGTTAACTTGATAGTTATTGACAAGTTTAATGTCAGATAAATTACACTGAGAAAAAAAAATACTTTTATTAAGAAAATTTTCTTGATACAAGAATTCATGTTCTTGAAATTTTTAAGAATATATATTTTTAGCTCAAGAACTTGTTAAATTGATTGAAATAATTTTTACTTAATTTAAATAAAGTTATTCTTCTATTTATCTATTATTCAAAGATAAATATTGATGCTCTTCTCTTCAGAAATTAATAATTAATAATAATAGAATATTTGATCGTCATTGAATTTTTTGAACCAAGAAATTGTTAATTGAGTAGAAGTATATTTTTTTCTCAGTGCACCGAATGTTTCTTTAGTAATTTTAACATTTGTTAAATTTTTTAACATAATTTTGAAAGTCTATGAATTTATCAATTGATCTGAATTTTTTTCTCATCTGGTTTTTTTTTTTTTTTTTAATTCATATATCCAAAGTTAATTTTTTTTATATCATGTCCAAATTTTACTGAATGCTTTTTCGGTAGAGTTTTAAAATATTTTGCCATTGCTATTTTAAAAGATTTTAAGTCTATCAATTGATTTGAATTCTTAAAAGTTTTTTTCATTTTGTTGATGGTCAAGTTTTTCTATGGGATGTTAAGAAACTTACCGAAGACTTTTTTAAAAAATTAATTTTCGGTAAATTTTTAAACATCTTAGAATTAAGATGACAGTATAAAATATTTATACTTAGTAAATTAATTAAGAGAAAGAGTCAAAGCTGTTGTGATTTACAATAGTAAGAAAAAATATCATTATCATAATCATTGACTCAAGATTTTAGTACTTTAGTTATCATTATTAAATCAGGATATCAAAATAAGTAATAATCATTTATAAATAAGCAATATCAATTACTCATTATCAATATCTTATTTTGTACAAGTATGTAATTTTTTTTTTATAACGATCCATAATCAATAGCATTTAAGATCGAAAAAAATCAGAAACAAAAGGGTTTAGTCCGTGATTAATTTGAAAAAAATTTTTTTTAATCAAGGCATTGATATTTTATAAAATGTTCATATTTTTTTAAATGTATTGTTGGCTAAACTCTTTATCAAAATAATTTTTAAAATATGTCCAGTGCATTAAAAAATTGCTCTTTTAAAAGAAAAAATAATTATTTAATGATGGTATAAAATTCATATATATTTAAAAAATCATTGTGCTACTAAGTTTAGTAATTGCGTACAAATATGTGCCTTCATTATCAATTCAGAGGTTAATACTCTATCCATCAACAAAAATGGATACGGATACTATTTTTCAAATCCAATTGATAATTGTACTTATTGCCAAAGAAAAATTAGTGATCTGTATCCTAAAATTTATGGCCATAGTAACAAACTTTATAAAATACTAATATAATATTTTTTCGGAAATATATAGATGTAAGAGTAGAAAAAAAAGTAAAATCTCATATAATATTATTCCGTATGTAATTGAATGTCATATGCATTTATTTTTATGTATATGTATTCCGAATCTCTTGGATTTTTTACAGTTGCATTTACTCGCATTTACAATAGATTTTTATAAGATAACTTCTGAAAGATTTTTAACTGGATCTCATTTTTTTACAAGATTGAAGACTTATTAATTTTTTTCTACTCACTTTATTACTGTTATATTATAACTGAATTTATTTTTAAGAGTATTTAATAGAATAAAAAAAAATATTATTTTTAATTAAAGTATAAAATACAAAGTGCATGATAAATATTTCAACGAATTAATCATTCACTAATAAAAGTGTTAAGAATTTTTATAATTATAATTAAATTATTATTCGCGTATAAAAATTAAAAAAATTTATTGAATTAAATTTTTAAATTTATTATTTAAATTTTAAATATGTTGATTATATATTTTGTCGCTATATTAAATATTCCATTATGATTAAGTGATGGTTGATAAGTTAAATAATTTATTTCTGATAATCAAAATAAATTGGCCTCAAGATATATAATGGACCCGAAGATTCATGAGCAAAAATAAATTTACGAATTAAAAATTCTGAAAAAAATAAAAATCTTTTTCTAGAATAAGGTACACAGAAATGGACCTCATTAAATTTTTGAATAAAAACTAAGATAATTTTTTCAATAGAATATTTATGATCAAATATACTATTCTTACTTCCATGTTATATTACAGTATTATAATAGTGAATGAAACAGCGACAAAATATTTTAGTAAAATTAATAATGCATCGATAGTGAAATGCGTTGAACGTATAATTCACTATTGATATAATATTGAATGTAATTATTGTTAAGTCGATATTTAAATATATTTATTTGTGTCTAAATAAATTTGATATTGACTTTAATGATACTCAGTTAAATAGGAGAAGTGTAATTATTGCTGTGACAACATTATAGGGAAAAATTCTCGATTTTTTTTATAAGCCTGATAATTATAAAATATTATTTTGACTTGAATTTCCATTAATTCTACGTAAAAGTAGAATTATTTCGAAGCTTAAAATCAAAATATCATTCGCCTTTTTTAATCTATTTTTAAATGAATTTTTAAAAAGATAAATTTTGAAAAAATCAATCAATTATTCATAATCTTAATTTTATTGTTAATTAAATTTTGAGCAAAGATCGAATCTATTAATTTTTACTGATTATAAGTTTAACTTTTAATTGTCAAGCTCAATTTATTTTATTAAAAAAATTAATATTTAATTTTTGTAAGCTCAGGGGAGGACTAGAGTGATACGAGGGCGTGCAATCATTGGAAAGACATAAATGAATTTTTGAAAATATTTTTTATCGTTACTAAATTTATGTAACAATAAATTTACATTTAAAAAAAATATTTGTTGTTCTATTTATTTATCCTAACTGAGGTATCAATAATCAATAAATAAAATAAATTTTTTTTTGGCAATAATAAAGCTTTTCCGGCTTCAACATGTGAGAATTCTTTCAAAAATAGTCATGCGTATTGCGCAATAGCAGACGCAAATGTTGGCAAGTACTCGATGGTTTTTTTTAGAACTGTAGGCCAATGTTAGTGTGTATCTGTGTCATTGGGATATCTTCCTTATACGTTTTCTTTTTTTTAATTTAGAGAATAATGAATTTAATAAAAAAATTTATTTTTAGATAAAATTTAATAAAAATTAAAAACCAATAAATTGAATAATTTTTTAAGTAACTAAATAAACTTGAGTTTTAAATTTATCAAAAATAAATAATTTTTTTTTAATGTTAAAAAATATCAATTTTTTAATAAAAAAAAATTAATCCTTAAAAAAATGACAAAAAAATCAAATTGATTTTTTGAAAAAAAAAATTTTTTTTAATCATTTCTACGATTTTAAATCGAGATAAAATTTTTGTAAACATTAAAAGCTCTAAAAATAATTTTTCCAAATTTTTATGGCAAAAAAATTAAACAATCACTAAAAATTCACGCAAAGTAAATGACATTAAAGTTAGCAGTCACTTGATAATTTTTAAATTTTATTTAATAGGTAAATTTGCTCCGAAAAATTATTTCTAAAAAATTGCATTTTTTATTTATTTAATTTTCTAAATGTCAATTTTTTTTTTTCATTTTCTTCGACATAGTTTAATTGTTAAAAAAATTTAATAAATATCTGCTAAATTTTTATTTAAAGTAAAGATAAAAAAATTATTACTCAATTTTTATTTTTCATAAATATTCTCATTTTTTTATACTAATTCATTTGTTAAAAAAAACAATCAGATGTCTGCTATTTTTTTGTCATACAAAATACCCAGTAATAAAAATTAAAAATCTATATATTTACTGCCTACTAATAAAAAAGTAACAACCAACTGAATCGCTAATATATAATCCCGAGTGACATAAAGTTAATGTTGATGATAAAACATTTTTAAAAAGTGGGGATTCGTACTCGCGACTACCGTGGCACAATGCAATGCACGATATAACATATAACACGTCGTGATGCGGGTGAAAAGTAGGAGCAAATAGTACAGCCTTAGAAGAGGAAGGAAGAGGAAACCAAACGCGTATCGTCTGTTGTGTAGTCATAGCCAGTCATAATTTAGTTCACTCTGCTCATATACAGTTACGTACAACCAAACAATAAGTAAGTAACATCCTCGCGTGGATATCAGTTGACGATACAATAAACTCCAAGTCTTGAGTAAATACAGTAGTACACGAGGTTTCAAGGACACGTGATAACTCTGTTACGTATTATCAAAATTAAAAATCTAAACTATTTCAGACACAGAGCATAATGACTTCCCTGGTGTATAAAAACTCAATGAAGGCCATCGGGAAATTCGTACCCGAAAAATTACAGCCTCTGTGGAATCATCCAGCTGGTAAGTAGTCAATAAACCCCGTAATTAATATTATCTAACTCCATAAACTGCATGAGTATCCTCAGAACTGACGTCACTCCAAAAGGAATAAGATAAAGATTTATAATTCCAGAGATTTAAAGATTTTTTTGCCCGCATTTTATGCAAGTGTTCGTGTTATCGTTATGCGAAACCTTGCCAATTAGGTCAAGGCTGACGTCATTTCAGTTCCTCTATTCTGACATTTGCATCCAATCTTTTCTAAATTTAATTTTTTTTACAAATTTTTTTTATAGAATATTTTCCTGCAAAAATACTTAAAATTTTCTAGCACAAACATATCGTACACGTGTGTTATCGATTGAGTATTTTTCAGGTCCGCAGACGATATTTTTCTGGGCGCCAGCATTCAAATGGGTAAATTTATTTTATTTATGTTATTGTTAAATTTATAAATTTTATTGCGAAAGAATAAAATTAATCTTGGACGTCATTTTGGCCTACTTTTATTCGCGTTTATCACGTATTTAAATTACTCAATGACAAGTATAATGATTTTCAATGAAGATATTTTTATTTTTTATTGCTCTAATCAGGTCTAAATTCTCCTATAATTAATTTAAATCAGGATATTGTAGACCAAAATTATGTTATGTTTTTTATTTCATTTATTTTAACATGCGACGTTTCCTCAGTTTTATTCTGATATCATTAGGCACCTTAAAATTTTACAATATAAAAAATTGACTAATTTTTTTAAAAATTTTTAAAAAAATCTATTTGTTAAAAAAAATTAAAAATGATTAAGTGATTGCTAACTTTAATGTCATTATAAAAACACATTTTAAGGTGCCTGATAATGTCAGAATAAAACTGACGGAGCGTCGCATGTTAAAATAAATGAAATAAAAAACATAACATTATTTTGGTCTGCAAGATTCTGATATTTATATTTTTTATTTAATGTCTTATTTTATTTAAATGATTTTGTCGTTTTTATAGGGCTTGGTGATAGCAGGTCTTGGAGATTTGCAACGACCGGCAGATAAAATATCAATGAGTCAGTCAGGTGCTCTTGGAGTTACGGGAGTGATATGGACCCGATATTCATTGGCTATCACACCGAAAAATTGGAGTTTGTTCAGTGTTAATCTCTTTGTGGCTTTCACCGCGCTTTACCAAGTCGCTAGAGCTATTAAGTAAGTATATTTTTTTTATAATTTAAAAAAAAATTTTAATTTCAAAAAATATTAATATAAATACAAAACTTTTCTGGATACTATTTTAAATAAATTTAGTTTATTAAATGTTTAGATTTTTCTTTTAAATAATTGTAAAAAGTGGAATTAAAAGTTATTAATTTAAAAATTTTTATATGTATGTCTTTAATTTCCTGAATTAAAATTTTTAATGAAAATTAATTTAGCAGATTTTTGATAATTTAAAAAATATTTTAAACAAATAAATTATGGCAAAAAAAAAAGTAGAAAAAAAATTGACAAGAAATTAAAAATGCAATTTTTTAAAAATAATTTTTCGGAAAAAATCTATTTGTTAGAAAAAATTAAAAAAAAAACTTTAATATCATAAATTTAAAAATTAAATATCTATTTAATGAATATTTTTTAATGATAAATTATTTAAATAAAATAAAATAAAAACAAACTTCCTGTATCGCGATTGTAGACATAATGTCGAAATTGACCTTTAACCTTGACGTTAGTCTGTTTATAAACGTTTAACTAATGTGGCTTAAATAATTAAATCCCCACAATAAGCAATCCTCTCTATTTATATCAATAAAACAATTTTATTTATCAAAATATTAATATCATAAGTAACTAAATGATTAATTAACAATTACAGATACCAGCAAGAGCAGAAATCGAAACCGACAGAATTACCGGCGATCAAACAATGATAAATATAAAACAAACATTCCACTAGATAAAATGTTGCAAGTTAGCACCAACAGGTTTCTTTTATACATTGCTCAAGGGATAATTAAATCACGATAAGAATAGATAGTTAATTAACAAATAAATATCTTCCGGACGAAAAATAAAGCGACGACGAGTCTAAGCTGATGACAAAAAATAAATACCGATGGAAGATTGTTATATTGTCACAAACGAACCAAATAACTGCGAATGTCAAGAAATGACCAGTGATTAACTGTAAATACGAGTTAATGGTGCTCATATCAATAAATAAACTGCTCTATAGTCATATTATCATCGCAGATAATATTAAATACACTTAATTATAAATATGATCAACTATTTATTAATAAATAAAAGTAGATAAAATTTCCACAAGTGTCAAGGTTAACTAATTATTGAAATAAATTATTCAAATGTTAATTAATTGATAATTATTATGTAGAAATCGATAAATATTTTAGCTCTTAATATATGAAAATGTACGTCTTTTCTATTTAAAAATACTGTAATAGATAAATTTGTCTAGTGTCAATTTATAGAAAATTTAATTATTTATTTATGAATATTATTGTGAATCTAAAAAAATTAATTGACGAAAATCAAACAACTTTTTTCAATAATTAAAATATAAGTAAAATTCTTTGATTAATTTCTAGAAAATTGTGTACTGTCGTAATTTTTAAATTGTGATAAATAATCAACAAGTTGAAATGTGTTCAATGATACTATCGAAATTTACGTATAATTACGACCAATAATAAATATTTCTGAATGATATAAATAAAATTAATTTAATAAACAAAAGAAAATTATTGTTATTAAATCATTTAGTTTAAAACTTATTTTTAGTAATAATTCAAGTTATAGAACAAAATTTATCTTCAATAAGATAGAAGAGGACCCAGTTATCGACGTTGACCTAGTTGTTTGACACTTGCAATTTTATGATTAAAAAAATAAAATGTTCTCAAAAAATCAATTATCTTAAAATTTATAATTCAAAAAATATATTTATTCATTTATTAGAGGGTTTTTTTTTTTTTTTAATTAAAGTAAAATTGCAAGTGTCTATATCTAGGCCAGTGTCAATAACTGGGTCTTTTACCTTATTCAATATCTTTCAAAACAAATTCTTTTTTTTTAATTATAATCAATACCGGTAAAAATATTTATCAAATTTTTATTTAATAAAAATGAAATCATTTTAATATGAGTATTCAGAAAAAATTTTTTTTCATTGACTCACCGTTGTCGATAAGTTGCTTTGTGATTCAGCTAAATCTGGAACAGCATGTTCATCAACCATTGATCCCCCTTATTTGCTGTAATTAAAGTAAAAAAATTAAATTATTTTTAAATTAAACGCAATTAATTTTATTAAATAGATAAAATATTATACCTAGCATATCACCGTATAAATCAGTAGAAATATTATATTTCTAGATTTTTTAATTCATCAAAAACTCGACTGATATCAATAAAACTCCCGATTTAATTAATTTTGAAAATTATTTACACGAGCAATGAATCTAAATTACTACTTTAACACCAATAAAAAAATTATCTAATACTGAACCAGCAAAAATTATTTAAATTAATATCAAAATTAAATAATTTTTCATGAACAATGGAAAAGTCTAATTACTATAAAAAAATAGAAATGTCTTTTTGTAGTATCTATAAAAAAGCCCTTAAGAATTCCACGCTGGGTAAATGAAAGTCTCATAATCGTGCGGCTTGAATATTCACCTCAAATATTTACGCTAAGTCGATTATCTTATTTGCAAAGATTCGTGATTTATTATGACTTTTTTTAATGAAAATTAATTTAGCCGATATTAAAAATTTTTAGAATTTTTTTATTAAAAAAAAATTTCATTTTTAAAAACTATAAATGCAATTTTTTTTAAATATTATTTAGTTCTAATTCAATCATTAATAAAAACTCAAAAAATTAAAAATGTCAGCTAGTTTGAGTATTATTTTTTAATAAAAATTAATTTAGCCGGCTTCTAAAAATTTTTTTATAAAAAAAAAATTCATTTTTAAAAAACTTTAAAAACTATAAGTGCAATTTTTTAAAAATATTATTTAATTCTAATTTAATCATTAATAAAAACTCGAAAAATTAAAAATGTCGGCTAACTTTAGTATTATAACTTTTTTACGTATGAAATATAAGTGTTCATAAAAATTATTAATTTCAATAAAACTTGATTTTAAATAATTATTTAGAATCAATAATTATAAAAAATCTGAAAAAACGATGATCTGCCTGTCAGTTCCAGAAATTAAATTCAACACCAACGCTATGCATCTATATTCTTGTCGCGACACGACTCTAAATATTTTTATTAATTTATCGACGTAAAACGTTTTATATATTAATGTTTATTTATATAAGTGCTAAATCCTACTCAATAAATATATTTAACCAACTGTCAGGTATAATTTTTCCAAATAAATGATTAAATTTACGTAAAAGCGGGAACGGACATCTTGACTCAGTGACTCGACATGAAATAATGCGTATTTCTCATCAGAGTCTAGGATTTTCCGTTGAAAGCTTCCGCGCACCGCCACCGCGGCTCTTCCGGCGCAAGCGCGCTAAATTCAAATTACTGAATCAGCGCCCTCTTTCAAACTCCTTTCACGAATCTTCAGTACCGACAATATAAAAAAGGCGTAAGCAGAGAGTAATAACAATAATAGTATTGTGTTTTGACAATTGTTAAGATTCTACATCGTATATTTGCGGCTTTCAATTTTGAATCATTCCAAGAGAATCATTTTAATTACAACACTGTAAGTAAAAAAAAAATTTTTTCATTTTATTAAAAGAAAAAAAAACAAATAAAATTTTTTACTGCTATCATTTTTGTTATGTAAAATTTATTAATTGCTTATCGAACTAAGATACAGAGATACGGCGTAATAAGTAGTAAATTGTTTATTCAAATAACGTCGAACTTTGGTCTTATAAAATTATTGCAAATCAAAGGTATACGACAAAAACAATAAATTACAAAAAAAAATTAAGTGCTTTGAAGTATGTATTTAAATAAGCAAATTATCAAGATTTAAATCAGTAAAAATAGACCGGTTGGTATATTTTGATCACTTGGTTAATTATTTCTGATTTATTTTAGTAAAATGGCTGAGAATCGCCTGGATGTGATAATTTTTGGCGCTACAGGATTTACTGGGAATTATACTGTCAAGGAAGCTGCAAGATTGTCCAAAGCTAAACCTTTTTCTTGGGGAATTGCCGGGCGAAATAAAGAACGATTGGATGCTGTGCTGAAAAAATTTGCTCCAGAAGAAGGTAAAGACTTTTATAAATTAAATTTATTTTTTTACATAAAGACCCAACAGCAATGGCCAATAACAGGGTCACTAGAGTATAAATTTAACGTCCTTTTACAATTTCTTATTACATATTTGTAAAAAACAAAGTCAGAAGTAAAAACAATAATATTTTAAGGGGGAACACCACTGTGACGATAAAAAAAAAGAGATTATTTTCGGGAATTTTTTTTAAAGGGAAAATAAAGGAATTTGAGGATTGGATTTTTTTATTTTATCAAGGGTACATTAAAGATTATTACCCTAAATTTTTATTAAAAAATATTTAATTATTACAAAGTTATCAACAATCTTGTAGAGCACTAGAAAAAATTTTCCCCCTCCACAGTCGGTTCGATAACTCAAAAACGGATCATCTGAAAATAAAAACCCAAATTGCTTTTTAATTAGTGAGGATGTAGTTATCGTCGCACGTATGGAATTTTGAAAATTTTGATTTTTAAAAAAATGGTGACTGATTGAAAATTTTCTCACTATTCTTACTGTTTTTTTTTTTTGTTTTAACCCGGTTAAAAAAATCTTTAAAATAAAAATTTTTCAAATTCCGTACGTGTGACGATAACTACGTCCTTACTGATTAAAAAGTAATTTGGATTTTTTATAAGATGACCTTGGAGGGGGAAAATTTTAAAATAAAAACCCAAATTGCTTTTTAATTAGTGAGGATGTAGTTATCGTCGCACGTATGGAATTTTGAAAATTTTGATTTTTAAAAAAATGGTGACTGATTGAAAATTTTCTCACTATTCTTACTGTTTTTTTTTTTTGTTTTAACCCGGTTAAAAAAATCTTTAAAATAAAAATTTTTCAAATTCCGTACGTGTGACGATAACTACGTCCTTACTGATTAAAAAGTAATTTGGATTTTTTATAAGATGACCTTGGAGGGGGAAAATTTTTTCTAGTGCTCTACGAGATTGTTAATAATTAAATATTTTTTAATAAAATAAAAAAAAAACCGATTCCCAAATTCCTTTATTTTCCCTTTCAAAAAAATTCCCAAAAATCACCTCTTTTTTTTTATCGTTACAGTGGTGTTCCCCCTTAATGTACTTAAAAATAATGTACTGAAAAAAAAAATAAAAAGAAAAAAAAAGTATTGTTAGAGAACTGAAAATATGCGTTTTAAATATCTGTTAAGATATTAAACTTGGCCAATATAGATTAAATTAGTAATATTGCATTATTTGGTCAAAAATATTACCGGAGAGTAAATTAGCTTCTATTCTTAATAGACTAGTAATAAAAATGAATTTAATTACAGAAAACATTTCTGTAATAATTGCTGACGTGAAAGATGAAGAGTCATTAAAGAAAATGGCTGAAAAGTGTAAAGTAGTCGTGAACTGTTGCGGTCCGTACAGGTTTTATGGAGAGCCGGTTATAAAAGCTTGCATTGCTGCTGGTACTCATCATGTTGATGTCAGTGGTGAGCCTCAAGTATGTATGCTGATTTATAATATCAATTATTATTATTGTAACTTATTCGGAGATGCTTTAAATTGTAATGGAACTTTATTTTGTATTTTGTATCTATTAATAGTTCATGGAAAAAATGCAAGTTGAGCACAGCAAAGCAGCACAGGAAGCAGGAGTTTACATAATAAGCGCGTGTGGATTTGATAGCATTCCATGCGACCTTGGAATTATTTTTGTCCAGCAGAAATTTGGCGGAGAAGTAAACAGCGTTGAAACTTATTTAAAAACTAAGGTGGATGGAAATTTTAGAGGAGCTAGTCTTCATTACGGGACCTGGGAGTCAGCTGTTTATGGACTAGCTTATGCTAATGAGTTACGTGAATTGCGTAGTAAGCTTTATCCTGATAAACTACCTTCATTTGAACCTAAATTACATCCAAGGTAATATACGGTCCTAATAATTTTAGGTGTAAATAATTATTGTAAATTTATGAACGAATAGCTGATTAAAACTTATTTTCAGGGGAATTGTACACAGTTCTGAAATATCTCAAAGATGGTCTTTACCTTTTCCTGGTTCTGATCGCTCCGTTGCTTATAGATCTCAGCGATATCTTTATGAAAAAAATAAAATTAGACCAGCACAAGTGCAAACTTATATGATACTCAGGTATCTTATTTTATTATTTATAATCCGAGATATATTTCTTCCATAATGATAATTGCTCGCCTCATAAGTGAAGCGTTGAGATACTGCTCTATTCTTGACATGTCAAAAAAAAGCAGTCTTCGCGAAACTGATATTGATTTTTTTTTAATTATTTCGCACTTATAGGATAATATGAGTGCACTTATATCAAGTCAAATAATCAAGCACATAAAATATATTTCAATAATAATTATCTATATTATTAAGAGAATAAGCAAAATTTTGTGGCTAGTGTATTTATATGATAAAATGGGTTTTCATTGTTAAATTTGGTATCGTTGGAAAAGTCTTGACCTGGAGTTGTGCCTTTTCATGGTTTCATATCATTCTCACCAATAGTCAATTTATGATGATAAGTATTTAGGCTGCATTCGAAAATGCTCTATCTCTAGATACATAATTAAGAAATGACCTAGTATCTCGTGGACTATTGACATTTTTAAATATATAAGCTCACCCCGACATTACACTCATCGAGAGCTTTCATTTGAGTACCTACATCAATTTTTCATATATTTATATATATGTATATATGAAAAAGATATCAAAATGCATGTGAGTACTCAAATGAAAGCTCTTGATGAATGTAACATCGGGATGAGCTTATTATTATATCTTTAAAAACGTCAATAGTTAAGAAAATACAATGCAATTTAACAAAAGTCATTATTTAATAAAGCAAAATTTTATTTATTTATAGTTCATAAATCACGGCAGTCACATAGTGACTGCAAGGTTGCTAGTTTTGTTTAACATAGTAAATAATAACATTAAAAATAATCTTTTCTGGACGTCCGTGTGACAGAGAAATTGCTCGAAAAAATAATCCTACCGACACAATTTTTTTTTTTTTATCATCTAAAGTAACACACTAAGAATTTTCTCAATTAATATGAGCGTTCAATTCACTGTCGTTTAATTATTATTTATAAAAAACTAAGATACGACTGTGTATTTGTATATTTATACATACATTTAATTAAAGTATTTTTTTTCTTCACCTTAGAATTATTGAGCCACTAAACCATAGCAGAGTTTTCTGTTTTTTGTATTTTATTTTAATCAATTTTATTATAAAAAATAAGATTATGAGGCGTGCACTTTTGGATTTTCCAAACTCTTTGGACATTATTCTTCTAGTAATTATTATTAATTACATAAAAAACTTTTTTATTATAGTTCTATTTGGGCTGTAATATCAGTCGCATGTATTGGAGCAGTTTTTTCATTGATGACTAAATGTAAATGCGGACGCAGTTTACTTCTCAAGGTCTATAAATTATAACTCTAAATATTTTAGTAAATTAAAAAATAAAATATTGGCAATAAGTAATGTTATATGTTTGTTGTAGTATCCAAAATTTTTCTCCGGAGGCTTAGCTAGTCATGAAGGACCATCACCTGAAGCCATGGAAAAAACCTATTTCTCAATTACATTAAAAGCAAGTGGTTGGAAGGATAAACTTGCTGAACCAACTGACAAGCACACTGAGCCTCCAAATAAAGAAGTAATTGCAAAGGTCTCCGGTACTAATCCTGGGTATGGAGCTACTTGCACCATGCTGATGATCTCAGCACTCACCGTTCTTCGTGAAGCTGATAAACTTCCTGATAAGTATGTAATATTACTAGAATTATTCAACCACTAATTATAACTAATTATAAAACAATTAATAATTATTTTTTCAGAGGTGGAGTTCTTCCTCCCGGTGCTGCATTCGCCAATACGTCAATGATTGAGCAACTGAATAACAATGGAGTTAAATTTGAAATAATTAAAGCCGAATAAAGTTAAGAAGCGAAAATTTTTCTATCTTATCTTAATATAAAAATAATAATTTTAACTTTAACAAATCCAAAGTACTCACTTCGAGTTTTAATAAAATATATGACATATATTCTATTTAATATAATAATCACATATTTATAAAAGATAATTCTTTTTCTACTAAAAATTTACTTAAACTCTTTGCTACTTTTCATCATTTAAATTTATAAAAACTTTTAAATATTTATATAGTTATTTATACTAATTTTTTATATTATCATAAAATACTAAAATATTGTTATGATAATACTTGTATTTTATCAATAAAATTTCAGCATTTAAAACTATTTCTTCGATATTTAATTATTTACTACTTATTTGTGACATTATAAATAGTTTTCATTCCATTTATTTTAGTGTAGAAATACCCAAGTGGATAAATCTAAGAATAACCTGCGGTAATTAACAATAATTATGATTACAATAATTTAAAAATTAAATATTTGAATATATTGGAAATAATTATCGATAAAGTGCTCTAAGGCATTTTACATTAATTACTTTTGTTATAGACTTATTATTTTCCATAACTTCGGAATCAAAAAAAATTTTTCTACCAAATATTAAATTCAATTAATTTCAGCGTTGCAATTTATCATAAATATTTAATGATTAAAATTAATCAATTCAACGACATAACTGTTGGTGAATTTTTTTTTTCTTTTACTCAAATCACGAAGACGTCATGAAATTTCCCCACCTGGGAATAACGAATCTTACTTCTAAGACAAAAACAAAAAAAATAGTCACTGAAGCTATGCTAAGTGTAGGAAGTGTATGAGGAAAACCCCGCCTGGTTTTGCGTCATCAATTTGAAAGGTACTAACCGAAGTTACGTACAATCCTGGTACTTGGATGTTGGATGTCCTTGCAACTCAATCATGACCTCCACTGTAATTTCGTCAAGAACATGTAAACGATTGTAATAGATAACTGATCCAGTTCCAAATAATTCCAATACAGAGGACGTTTTTGTGTATTAGACCGCCGACTTTTTAAACTCGAAATAATTTCGGATTATATCTATCTCAAATACGCTCCAGTGAAAGGAGTGTAATTTAATTGGCTCAAGTTCACGATCGTTCAGCTACCTTGTTTAAATATCCTTCCGATTGAACGCGTCAGAATAATTATTATTTACACCTAAATTTATTAACTAAGAAACAGAATATCAGCTCTTATTAATAGATATCACACAGATATCAATTTTTTTTAAGGTTCCTATAAAACATTTTTAGCTAAATTAAAATCAATCTTGTAACATAATTTCGTTAATACTTTTTATTTGTACACAGAAAAAAAATGTTCTTGAATCAAGTATATAATTTTAAAGAACTTGATATTCTTTATTTGAGTAGAAAAATTATTGATTTAGGGAAATTTTACTTGATTCAAGAATTTTTTGTCTTGATTCAAGACAATCCCCATGAAAAAAAATATAATGAAAATTAAGTTAGCCGACATCTAAAAATTTTTAGAATTTTTTTTTACTAAAAAATTATTACAAAATAATAAAAAAAAAAATTTTCATTTGTAAAAAACTTGAAAAACTGTAAGTGCAATTCTTAAAAAATATTTTTTAGTTCTAATTTAATAATTAAGAAAAAATCAAAAAATTAAAAACGTCGGCTAACTTTTAGTGTTATAAAAATATATTTTAAATATATTAAAAATCTATAAATTTATAAAAAATATGTATAGTAAATATATTATTAATAACTAACTTTTAGCCAATTTTTATATATATTTTAGATATATTCAAAATATATCTTAAAATACATAAAAAATACATAGCTAAAAATATAAAAAAAATATATTTGAGATATATATAATATATATGAAAATCGGCCAAAAGTTAGTTATTAAAATATATTTTTTTTTTTCATGTGGAAATTATCCTCTTCAAAATTATATTCTTGATTCAAGAATTTTTCATGAAAATTAATTTAGCAGATATTTAATAATTTTTAGAACTTTTTTTAATAAATAAATTACGGCAGAAAAAATAAGAAAAAAAATTGACATTTAGAAATTAAAAAAAATTTTAAATGCTATTTTTTAAAAATAATTTTTTAGAATTAATTTCATTGTTAAATAAAATAAAAAATTTTTCGAGTGACAGCTAACTTTAATGTCATGAATTTTTCTCTTAATAAATCAAGTTAATTTTTTTTTTTTTCAGTGTATATTGTATCTTTTTTCTATTATAATTTTTTATATTAATTTCTCTCAAAATTTTAAATTACCAAAGTTTATAAAGCCGATTGGTATATAAGTATATAAATAAATAAATAAATAAAATAAAATAAATAAACTTCTATTTAATAACTCAATTAATATTCATAACAGGTATAAAAAATCACTCGGAATTTGGTATAATTTTTTTTATATTTAAATTAAACTTATTGATTTATTTTTTGTATAAAAGTAAAAGTAAAAGGGTTTTTTGCTTATTATAAAAATAAGAACAATCAAAACAATTTTTTTTAATGTTTCTACAGAGAGCGAAAAAAAACGGAAGATCGTAAAAGACAATGTCGAGTGGTGAGAAAATACCTGTCAGGCCGTTTGTCGAGAATAAATATTGGTGGGGACATTTTAGTCGTCAACTACAACTATATAAAGACCAACGTTTACTTAAATCTTGACACTCTTTACATTAGCATTCTTTTTGTTTGATATTCCCATTGTTATTTCTAATGCCTCATATTAACTATAATAAATATTTTATTTGATTTTAACTATCGTGGATTTTAATTTAATAAAATAAAAAAAATTGTGAAAAGGTGAATTGGATTTTATAAATTTATTTAAAGTCAGAAGAGTGTAAAATTAAAGTAAAATGATGAACGGTGTGAAAAGTGATACGGGAATTTCCGTCAACCTCGCGAACGGGGAAAAAGAAAATGATAAAGGAAGTAAAGTTAATGGACAGAAATCCTGTCTGTGTGTTGATAAAGTTACAGGTCAGTATTAATATTTTTTTTTACACAATTATAATTTAAAAATTGTACAATTTTTAATAATTTAAAAATTTTAAAATAAAAAATGAAATTGATAATAAACCAAAGCGCTGTTCTATTGTTAATATAAAATTAAATTAAAAAACTATTAATTAACGTTTCATTAAACTTAAGCTAATGACATATTCACAATTGAATGAGCAATTATAATGGCATTGTAAACTTTCTCGTCACAATATTCTACTCATGAATATTCAGACGTACAAGTTATGATTAATTCCGTAAGGATGTAATTTATGAAGAGCAATTAATTAAAATCACGCTTAAAAAAAAATTATACATTTATTAAAAATGAAATTCTTGTAAAAAAAGAATATATTGTTAAAAAAAAAAAAAAAAAACGATCACCTTCATGATGAAATAAAGTACAAACTAGATTAATAAGTTAACGTCTCAAGGACTAGACAGAAGAACGTTTAATAAAAAGTGTTAAAGACACTGCATGCATTTTTAAAACGCCGATGAATAATCACGCAAACAAGAGTACATTCCAATGATTTGTATGGAATTGCAGCATCGCATCTCAAGGATTACTAGACTCCAGATTATTTAACTAGTTGTATGAGCTTCAGGATGAAATTGGATGAGAATTGTTTTATTTCTTCTTATTATTTGTTATTTACATAATTTTTCTACTCTGGCGATGGTGATTAATTTTGTTTAAAAGTTATTTAACTCGGCTAATTTAAAAGCGATCGATAGCAAGTTGGGTTGCATTATCAAAAGCTATTGTACAGTTCATGAACTTTTAGCGTGATACAGTACGCCGATAACTGGCTTTTAATTTAATGAACGTAACACCCAATACTCTCTTAATACACTTTCTATGACGTCGATCGTTAAACCAGGATAAAGGATATTGTCTATTGTATTTCCTCATTATTGTTTTTAATTATCGATGAAAAAATAACAATTGTTTGATGTTGAAGATTATTACAAATATTTTCAATTTTTTATAAGAAAAAATTTTTATTTAGTCATAAAAAAAAATTAATTTGAATCAAAAAATAAATTCTTGAACCAAGAAAATAATTTTGGAAAGTTTTATTTTTTTTTAATCAAAGCGAAAAATTCTTGAATCAAGTAAAATTTAATTAAGCTAAAAAAAAATTCTTAGTTTAAGAATTTTTCTACTCAAATTAAGAATATTAAGTTCTTCAAAATTATTTACTCACTGATAGAAAAATTTTTTTATATTTAATAAGCTTTATTAACTGTTAATAAATATTTGATAATGTTAACAAATATTTATTAACAATTAATAAGTAATTTCTTAATTTTCTTTATTATAATGTAATATAATTAATACAAATAATTTATAAAGATGATTTTTATTGAAATATTTATTGAATGTTAAAAAATATTTATTAAACTTCAATAAATTAAATAATTGTCTTCAAATAAATTAAATTATTAATATTTAATAAATCCTTCTATCAGTGCTTGATTCAAGTTATTTTTTTTTTCTGTGGTCAAGTGCTTCTTTAAAATTTTAAAACAATTTATTTATTTCTTCTTGCTGTTAATTATTTGATTAATAGATTCACGGGTCACTAATTGACCAGAATGTTATCAATTGTTATTTTTTTAGGATTTTTTTAGTCTGCGGCGGTGTTTTTTTGAGAGTATTTTATCGGCGGGTTTTTTTGTAGCAGGTTCAATGCCCTGATCGATATTATCTATGATGTTCTTAATGATAAAAATAAATTTTTTTTATAATATTTTTATTTATTTATCAATTTATAGTAAAAAAAATTTTTAAGACAAAAAATTTTTTTTTTCAAAGTAATTTAATATAGAATTGAAATAAAATATGTACCGCAAGTAATAATCATTATTACCGTATCAACTGCAATAGTTTAGCTTTCCCAGGATCAGAGAGCGGGACTTGGTCTTGGTGACTTGGTAACTTAGTAACTTTTAACACTATCCAATACTTGAATTAAACTCGTAGCCTTTGCCTCAGCCTCTACTCAGATTCAGTGACATCAGTCGCACGGCGTCACTCTTCCGAGCGACTTCGCGCTACTCAGTCACTTGAATATAAATAATAAAATTTCTTCTCAATAAAATTGGTTATCAAATAATTAATTTCTATAAATACAAAATAAAAATCTTTAAAAAATATATATTTAAATTTTTTTTTTTTTAAAACGCTGGCGATAAATATTAACTTGAATTTCAATTGAGATGAATTTATATCAATTTGTATATTTTTATTGTGATTGATTTTAAATATAGTTAAACTTGTGAGTAAATTATTATTACTTCCAATCTAAGACACAAGTGTTGAAAAATATTTTTTAAAAATTTAAAACAGAAGAAGAAATTATTTTTTTACTCACTGTGCATCGATTCAAGTGACACAACGAAGTAACTTAAAAAATTGAGTATTTTTGTAATTTATTTATAAATATATAAATATATTTTTGAAATAATTTTAAAAGTCAAAATGAATGGATCAAGTACATTCGTTGAAAAAGAAAGTATTACCAAGAATTGTAAAAAACCAGGACCGCTGAGAAATGTTACTTGGAGTGAAAATGTTGACGAAACTGATTTGGAGGTACCAGGAACACCGAGAACTCCCAGGACCTCAAAGACTCCAGGTATAAATCCTAAATTCACCAACAAAGAGTTTTTAAAATCATTGTGGTTAATTGTATCAAAAGCTTTCTTTTAAGTCACTTGATAGTTTTTTTTTACTTTTGACAACTGGGTTAATATCATCATAATTTAGGCCCTACAATTAACTCGAAAAAATGATAAAATCGTGAGAAAGAAGGTGAAATTACAGTTACGAAAACATGACAAAGAATATATAACTGTAGATTTACGAATTACCGTGAGAGTTATTATTTCGGGCGATGTTTTTTTTTTTTGGCTCAGATTTATGATAAGAAGAAATAAGTTACCAAGGAAGAAAAGGGCTTAAATATTTCATTTACTCTAAAAATAAAATATACCTAAATAATAAGTCATTATATAATTCAGACATTAAATTAATTGTGTATTTGTTTGTATTCAAGTGACTAACAATTATATAAAAGAAATTAAAATCGTGATCACATAACACGCAATTTTTAAGTCATATTATTAAAAATTAATGTAAGATAATTACAGGCTTGAGTTATCAGAAAACTATTTGATCAGATTTATATTTACTTATTATTGTTATTCAATAGTTTCGAAATAAACGTTTCATTCAAAACGTATAATGAATCAAATACATTATTTTTTTTTTATAGTGAACTATTTAGCGATTTAAGCACGGCAAAAAAAAATTAATTTGATTCAAAAAAATTTTCTTTATTTCCAGATTTTTTTTCTTCAACAAAACAAAATGATTTTCTTGGTTGAAAAATTTTTCATTTGAGTCAAGTTAATTTTTAACTTCCCGCTAAGAAAATTGAAAATTTTTTTTTTTGGCAAAAAAAAAAAAGAAAAAAATTGGAAATTATTATATAAATTTGTCAATAATTATAATTATGTTTGTAGATTACATTTATAATTCTGTAATGCATAAAATGTGATACTAAAAATCATTATCACTAACAAAGTATTCTTTTGGAAAAAAGGTCATGATACTTGATAACACAAATCGGTTTATTGGCATCTGTAATTTTTTTTACATTAGATAAAAAAATAAAGAAATAATTTTTCATTTTTTTAACGATAAAAAACTAAGTGAAGAAAACTTAATAATTCTTTTACAGAAAAATCTAGCAAGTAAAAAGATAAAATCTCTTTAAAAAAAAATGTTAATCTCCTAACTCACTAATAATTTTATAACTTCACACCTCGATCAATGTTATCCTATTTCACTAGATCAATACCTGATACCCTAAAGATCAATATACTCATTTCTTCTCTAAATATATATAATAAATACCTAGAATAACCCGTTACAAAAAACCATCATATAATATTATAATACTGTGGTCGATGTGCGGTGTAATACAATCTATCTCCAACAAAACAAAAAAAAAATTATAATTCCCACTGAATATATTTTTTCAGGCCATGAAAAGTGTACATTTCATCACGACTTGGAGCTAGATCACCGTCCTCCAACAAAAGAAGCACTATTACCCGAGATGTCGAAAAGTTACAGACGTTTATTGAGATCACTAGGTGAAGATCCAGATCGACAAGGACTTTTAAAAACGCCGGAGCGTGCTGCTAAAGCGATGTTGTTTTTCACCAAAGGCTACGATCAAAGTCTCGAAGGTAATTAATCACTTTCTACTCAACATTTTTATTTATTTTCAAATAGGTAAGGCTTAATTTAAATCTCTGATATAGAAGAAAAGAAGAAATATATAAAAAGTATATTTTTCTTTACCTTCCATCGTATTAGATTTAAATTTTGATTATTTAATGTCAAGGGACAGGCCAAATGGCAATTTCAATTACATAGTATATACAGTTTTTACAAGAAAGCAATTAATAATTAATTCAATTTAATTATATGTAAACAAAGTAAAAAAAAAAAAGAAAATCATATTAAACTTGAAACTTAATATAAAAAAAAAAAAAAAAAAACAATAATTTAAAATATAGAATTTTAATGTCACTAAATCAGGTGATAATTCAGCATAATAATTTTGCGAATTTCACTTACTTCATCCTTGTTTTAATATTTAATTTTCAATGTATTAATTTAAATTTGTTATTTATTAGAATTTGTTTTAATTATCAAAATTTAATAAATAATTAAATACTTCTTTTTGAAGACTTGTAAGCTACTCGAATTTACAATTTTATTATATATATACGTATTATATAAAATTAGACCAATAGAAGAAAAAATCAATAATGCATTACATCAGATTTAAAATAATTCAACTGACAGTGCTCAGTTCCCCGGTGTATAAGGATAAATTTCAAGAAAATACGAAGTAATGCTTTTTTATTTTATCTGAGAATATGTGAGATTTTTATTCAAGAGAATAAAATAAATAAGACTAACACCGATAAATAAAAAAAAATACAACTAAAATCTACTTTGAGTAACTACAAAAAAAAAGCATCGCATGATTAATGACGTCGAGAAGAACCTCTAAGAGCAGTAAATGAATTAAAGATCCACGTGACATGAATCTCAGGTCTCGTAAATAAAAGTCTCGTTATACGCCCTCGCTCATTCACTTAACTTTTCCTCAAAGACTTTTCTTCCTCCCAATAAAACTAAAACTACGAGAAGAAAAAAGCGTTCCACATAAGCTAGTGCTTTTTACTTTTTATACAATTGCACTCAGCCGAGAAAAAGAGTCATTTCTTCTTCTAGTCGCGTTCTTACACTTTTTATTTATTTATACATTGAAAAAAAAAAACATTAACTTTAAAAGAATAATTATTGAACTCAGAATATCATTTTTAAGAATTTTATTTTCTTGAATTCTTCTGAGAGAAAGGAAAATTATTGTCTAAAAAATAATTTATTAAAGTGAACTATTATTAAAATTTATTAATTTTTTGACAAAATAAAATCAATCTAAATATTTAAGCTTTAATTGGATTAAATAAAAAATTTTTTGATCAATTCGACTAATTTTTCAGACAAGAAAATTTATTTTTTTGTGGCAAGAAAATTTTTTCTATAAGAGTATTTTTTTCTCAGTGTTAATAGAAATATTCTTGGACTTTAGGTCCAATATGAAGAAGAGCAAGTAAAGCGTAAAAGCTAGGAGAGAGGGAGATCAACCTTGTAAGAACCGAGAAGGTGTACAAGTGAAAAGCAATAAATAAAAAAAAATATGAAAATTCTTACATTTATAAATTTACAATAAAATGTCTAACACAACCTCGTATCTCAAAAATGACAATTTTAAAGATTAGGTAAAAAATGGCTTGTAAAAAATAAATATTCATCTAAAAACAATATTTATCAATTGTATTTTCTAAAAATACTCTCGTATTTATTATTAATCTGGTTTATATTTTTTTACAGCAACGCGTTTATAATTAATTACTAATTTTTCAGTTGAACCCTTTTATCTTCAAAAATCGAGATACGTGGTTGCGTTAGAAAACCCTCGACATATTCACTGAAAAAAAAATATAGTTCTCTGAACTAGGAAAATTTAGTCAAATAGCATCACCACTATTTAATAGAAGCTCTTATACCTAAAATTACTTATTTTATTGAACCCCAATAGATAGTTACTTAAAAAATTTTTAGTTAAATATCGGCTTGATAGTAATCTTCATTAACTTGAACTGAGAAAACAGAAAAAATAATTTGGGCAGCCTGGACCGGGATTCGAACTCTAATTTTTTAGTTATGCACTAAGGACTCTTCCAGTTGAGCTACCTTAGACATCGTCCGTAAAAACCTTTTAGTCACTTGATAATTTTTTGTGAAAAACTATAAGTATTTATTAAAATATAGTCAATATAACTATTTATCAATAGTTACTTAAACGAATGCATAGTTGTTCGAGTAACTACACAAAAAAAGGTCAGAAAACTATATTATCATACTTGTGACGTTATAATTCAGCTAACTATGCACTTTTCTATCAGTGTTCTTGAAAATTATCAAGAATATATATTCTTATGACAAGAAAATTTTTTTAAAAGTAGTACTTTTTTTTCTCAGTGTATTAAAATAATTTGCTCTAACATTTTACTGCTGAAACTTAAAGAAGAAGTAAAAAGAAAATAAAATAAGTAACAGGTGTCCAGTGAAGACAAAAGCTTAACTCGTCTTCCTTTGTGCCAGTAGAACTGATAACTCACTACCCGTATTTCTGGTCCAGCTCGAATATAGAGGCAATATCAAGAGCGGTAGAGAATAAAAGTGTATTATATTAGTGTGGGAATGTGGGTGGAAGAGTGGAAAGAGGGTGAGTGGTAGTAGAATCACCACTACCAACTACGTCACTCTCCACTTTATACCATTATTCTTTTTTTACCTTTTATTGCACTTGTCATTTTATACAGAGCTTGAGTCTGACAATTGAGACAATCTGCTTCTACTTCTACTTTTCCTTTTACTATTTTCCGTTTCCTTTCTTCTTTACTCGTCCCAGTAATAAAGTAGCATTAACCGCTATTACTTAAGTTCAATTGAAGGACATTTTTTTTCCTACAATCCAATTAATTACTTCAAAGAGCTTTATTTTTACAGAGCGGGTATTTTATTTTTATTTTCTTCACATAGAACATGATTAGATAGTTTTGATTGTTTTGGTATAAAGGTGTTGGTTGTTACGGTTGCCATGGTAACCATAGAACAGCCCCCGCAATATTCATCCACTTATCATCGCCCTGGTCCATTCACTCTGTCAACCACTCACGATACTAAAACATAGCTGTATATGAGTGTAAAACAACCCCACAGGTCTCTTATCTACTACATTATCGTCAAAGTGGGTCAATATCGACTAAATCACGAGCGAGTACTTGCATTCATCATTATAACTAAATTTATTTTCTCAGTAAATGTAAAAAAAAAAAAATACCTAGAGCTTTTTTATTGGAAAAAAAAATTTTATTTTATCTGAAAAATCAAATGAATTATTAGCTAGTGTATTAGATTAAATTATTTGAATAATTACGATATTGATAACATAATAAATCATGTAATTCTTATAATATATTTCCATCGGTTTGTTATCTAGATAATGTATAATTTATGGTTTTAAATTAATAATTATCTTAAGGATTTCAAATATGCTGAATAATTATTATCTGGATTTATATATTGCTCAATTGAGCTAGATATAGAAAAATAAATTAACATGTTCTGTATTAATTTTAATGAAGAAATTTATTAGTATTAAAAAAAAATTCTAATTTTCAAATATTTATTTCTTTTATGCTTAAGAAAAATTTTCAAAGAAGAATTTTTTGGCTCAACAATTTGTTAAATTAAACAATTTAATTATGTGGGAGTTAGGCAGGGATTGAGTCAATATAAATAATAAGAGTGAAGAAAATTATTATGACTTGACTAGACAACGTGCTATTCAATAATTATACCTGTGACAAAAGTATACAATATATTGACAGAAGAATATCAATATTTATTTTAATTATTGTGAGAGAATAAACAAATAGCTTCACTTGAATTAAATAAAAATTATCTATATTATTGAGAGAATAAGACAAATTTTGTGGTCAGTGTATTTAGATGATAAAATGAGTTTTTATGGTTAAATTTTGTTATCGTTGAAAAGGTCTTGACCTGAAGTTGTGCCTTTTCAATCTTTTATATGCTTTTCTAAAATGGTTTATTTATTATGATAAGTTTTTGAAGTAGTTATAAATAGATTCGAATTTAGCGATAAATTTGTTTATTTATTTTTTTTGTTTTATACACGTGAATGCGGTTTTATATCAAAAATTAATTTATATAATTAAGAGACTAACAAAAATTTAGTAACGGGTGTATCTTTGTCGTAAATTGGGTTTGATATTTTTTAGCGATAGTTATTTATGATTTAAATAATTCAGAGAGCAAGGAAAATTTTGTGCCGAGCATATTATTATTTTTAAAAAAATTTTTATAGTTTCATTTGGTATCATCAGAAAGGTCTTGATAAGAATTAGAGTCTTTTGGTTTTATATATATTTTTAGTAGTCAATTTTTTATGTCAAATTTTTGAAGGAGTTTTTAATAGTTTTTTGGTTCTATAAATTTTTTCCGTCACATTTGTCCATTAAATTATTTGTAATTGATCCTGTGATAGAACTATTATTTTTAAAATTTATTTAAAAAGTATACCCAAACTATTAGTGTGATGATAAAAAAATCATTAAGCTAAAGTTTTCTTATTCATAATTCGTAAATCTCGGCAGTCGCGTAGTGACTGCAGGTTGCTAGTTTTAATTAATTCGACAAATTTTCCGACAAGAAATATTTCTTATTTATTTATTTGAAAAGAAACGCCCTCGATAATTTACAACAATATATTACATTTTCATGTGTAGAATTTTTAGTTAATATTTATATACAATAAATAACATCTGTAAACAGAAGATAGATTTAAGAGATTTGAGAGAAGAGAAAAACGAAAAAAAAAATTTTTAATAATTGATAATTTATAATTTAAAATCACTATTTGTACACCTGGAATGTTATTTTAAAATCAGCCTTTTTGTTTCTTATTTTTTTTTTCTCAGTGTATAATAATAAAATTGATTTTTACTTTAATAATAAAAATTATTTTTATTTTTATTTCAGATATTATAAATGATGCAGTTTTTGATGAAGATCATGACGAAATGGTTGTCGTTAAAGACATTGAAATGTTTTCAATGTGCGAGCATCATCTAGTACCATTCTACGGAAAAGTATCAATTGGATATTTACCATGCAAGAAAATTCTTGGATTAAGTAAATTAGCTAGGTAATTTATTTTTAAAAAATCATCAAAAATTCTACATAAAACTTCAATCTAATACCTTAAAATAAATATGTATGACAGTAAAATTAGTTTTCTTCTCATAATCATAAATTAATAAGACCACTGTCAACTTTCATCATAACACTCAATATGATGCGGCTTGCAGTGACCATAAGAGCCTTGAACACGTCTTGTGGTTGTGACAAAAAAATAATAAATTTAAATAATAATATAAACCGTATCATATAGATATGTTAATATTATTTATGAAGGTGGATACAGAGGTTGATTTACAAGACATTACTTTCACGCTCACATTGCATTCGATATCACGTGCCGTTTGCATGATCTTATGTTACTTAAAAATTAACTAAACTGCTCTATATACTTGTTTAAAAATAAAAATAAAAATAAAAATAAAAATAAAATTTTTTTTTTAGGATCGTCGAAATTTTCAGTCGAAGACTTCAAGTGCAGGAGCGCTTAACAAAACAGATCGCTATTGCTGTTACTAAAGCTGTTGAACCTGCGGGTGTTGCTGTCGTTGTTGAAGGAGTGTTAGTATTTGTATTTTTAATTAAAATAAAGTTAGCTGACATTTAAAAATTTTTATAATTTTTTTATTAAAAAAATTATTACAAAAAAATAAAAAAAAATTTTTTGTTAAAAAAATTATTACAAAAAAAAAAAAAATTTTATTAAAAAAACTATTACAAAAAAATAAACAAAAAATTTTGTTATTTGTAAAAAACTTCAAAAATTATAAGTGCAATTTTTTAAAAATATTTTTTAGTTCTAATTTAATAAATTGAGCAAAATCAAAACCGTCGGCTTACTTTATTATTATGTATTTTAATTATACTGAAATTAACAAACATTTTTAGGATTTTTATAACTAAATTATTATTAAATAATTTAAATAGAAAAATTGCATATTTAAAAATTTTTTAAAATTCCAAATGAAAATTTTAAAAAATTTTTTTTCTTGTATAATTTATTTATAAAAATCTGCTGACTTCAATATGTATTTAAACTTTAAATTAGCTAATAGTTATTTTAACCAAGCCGGATCTTTGCGCTTAAAGTTAAAAAAAAATTTCTCATATTAATTGGTAAATAATAAAATAGCGTTTTGTAAAAGCGTAAAGACCTTGTACTAATAAAGTGTAACTCAATAAGATATTAAAAATGATTATTGCGTGCTAGTCGTAGGAACAGGATAATTATAATCGTTCACGTAACGGTTTTTGTCCTTCAAATCAACTATTGGTGTATGAATAAAAACCTCTCACTCAATCTGTCAATGTGATTGTTATATTATATGGATAATTTATTTATTTATTATTGTTATTTACGATCAAACATTATCAATAATGAACTTTATCTATTAAACTATTCAAAGATCATTATCTTATTAATCATCGATAAGAATTATTCAATTACATAAATCGGTCTTTGTTAACTTTTTTATCTGAGCTTTACTTTATTGGCACACAGTATAAATTTGTTTCAATTAGTATTTAGATTGCAAGTGTGTAAATTATGTAACTTAATTACTAGATTATTAATGACTGAATTGAAAAGAGTTTTATGTAATAATTAGTCATTGATTAATTATTTATTAATTTTTCAGGCATATGTGCATGGTAATGCGAGGAGTTCAAAAAATAAACAGCAAGACAGTGACTTCAACTATGCTTGGAGTTTTTCGAGATGATCCAAAAACACGGGAAGAATTTTTGAACCTTGTTCACTCAAAATAAACCACTGACATGATATGTAATATGAAAAAATATGACAGATCTTGGTAATTTCTAAAATTGATTCGCTGAAAATATAAAATATTATTTTTATTTATTAAGATTGAGACAATATTGTCGTAATTAAGATTTTGAAAGTTTAATATTAAATAATAGCATAAAAAAATTTATTTAATTAAAAACTTTACGCGAATTTAATAGATGTAAGAGTTTGAGAGAAACTTGAAAGTTTAATTATAAAACTGCTGAAAGCGTGACATGTTGACAATAAAAATTATCATTTTTTATTATAATTATTGTTGTTTTATATAAAAAAAAAAAAAAAGTTTGCTATTTTTGGAGCTCCCTCCAAAGATAATGCTCTCAAGTTTCTCTTGTTAAACTAGTACAATTGACCGGATTTGATAATAAGTACAATGTTATACTGACAATATTATTCCATTCTTACATTATTATATTACAAACATTAATTAAATTTTATTTATCGATAAAATAAATTTTTTGTTATATTGAAAAACTATTTGCAAGATTCTACGGCCATGGATCTTGCGAATTTGGAACGTAACATGGTTGTAAGCAACTAATTGTGCAATTGATTTTTTTTTGTTCAGTTATTTTTAGTCATTCCCGATAATTAACTGCTGATTCATTGTAATTAGTTTAAAAAAACACATTCCTTGCATAATTTATTTATGATAGTCGGTAGTTATTGATAAAAAAAAATTATTATCATTTACTTTTTTTTTTTTGTATCAATTAAAGCTGAAAAACTTATATTATTAGTGTTAAGAATAAAAGTTAAACTATTGATGTAAAAAAGTATAAAAAAAAAAACGGGATGAGTATTAATCGATCCAGCCATTCGTAAATACTCGGCCCGTGTCTTTGGGATCAAGTTACTCGTGTTTGTTTTAAAATATTAATTTACATTATTATCAATTAAATTGAACAAATTATTATGAAACAACGTTTGCATCAACCGCCGCAACATGATATGAGTATCGATTATAAATATCAACATTCATTATTTTTTTTTTATTACACTTTTACACTTTGTTTTACTTTCTACTAAAGTATGTTTTACCTACAGAACTAGTATAAAATTTTTTACAGTGATATAAATACTAAAATTTTGTTGCTTTTATACAAATTTTGCTTCACACTTAATACTATACAAGCATTTTTTTAATTTTAAGGGGCACAACTAGTGTGATAGCCTAAAAAAAAAGGCGATTTTTCGGAATTAAAATACTCATAATGCTCATTCGTTCGATAAATAAAAAAAAATAGTTAATGTTCTAAAAGAATATTTTTTTTAAATTTAATTTAATTTTTTATTTAAATATAACTTTTGCAATTTACTATTTTTTTTTTTTTTTTAAATACTTTTAAATACAATTTCTTTTTTTATTTATTTTTTGATTTCAAGTTTCGCGCGGTGTTTTAAACTGATCATGCGTACTGAGTGTGGATTTTTTTCATTAATTTTAATTTTTCGTTAATAGCAAATAAATAACATTAAATAAGATTACCATCTCCAATAGAGATCTCCGCAAAGGGAATGCCAAGAATTTAAAAAAAAAAACTGATTGAATTCGTGAATTTTTACGCAAGTTATCGTGTTTTTAAACGAAAAATTGAGTTGTCTGACACGAATTTTCTTTTAACTATTTTGATATTTTTTTCTGATTCTATTATCTTAAATCGATTTTTACCAGTGACAAAATTAATCTCCATTAAATTATCTATCGAATGGTGCACAAATTAATTAAACTACGTAGATTATCAATCGTGTAATTAATTAACTAGTTGCGAAATCGAGGCAAAACAAATTTTTCGATCGTAAAGCACTCTCTGATGCTTCGCATCATGAGTCGTGCAAAAACTCCTATATGATTTGTTTTAAAATTTTAAGTGTATATTAATACATAATTTATATTAAGAACATACAGTAAAATTTTTGAAGAAATAAATTAAATATTGTCCTTCACTGCTGCAGTGATTCCGGCCTTCTCCATGAATGAAACATAAAAAAAAAATTCTCGTTAAACTAAAAGATATTGTTCGTACAATGAGCCTCGGTCGAAAAAAAATATCAAAAATTGACAAATTGGCGGCGTTTTTTTTTTTTAAAAGTTGAATTTTACCCAAAATTTTAGTCGTTTTTAGCCTGCCAAAATTCAATTTTTGATCAGATCAAAAAACTGGAGGGTAATTGTATAGAGAACTATATACAGACCATGCAGAAAATAATTTGGTAGTGATCGGATCATTTGTCTTCAAGTAATCACTGCAGCAAATTCGAAAAATCATGTTTTGAGAAAAACGCGTTTAAAGATAAAATTATCTTATTCTTACTGCCGAATGGCTGTAACTCAAAAACTATTTGAGATATCGATTAAAAATTTTAATATGTTATTTTTAAAGGCATAGCCTATCAAAATATGAAAAAAAATCGATTTTTTGAAAATTTCACACTATTTATGCCCCCTAAATTATAATTTACTATTGTTACAATATTTTCAAACTTTCTTTTTAACAAATAAAAGTTATGAAAAGTCGATAGACTTAAATATTATGACACGGAACTGTTAATGCGGTTACTTGCCAATTTGTTAATCAATTCAATCGTTGTCTTGAATGTTTAAATAAATAAGAATATTCATGACGGTTTGAATGAAAGTGGATGGTTAAAAAAAAAAATTATTTAACGGAGTGAAAATGTTTTAATGTTTATGATATTTTTTTGGATATTATATAAAGTTATATTTATATTTTATTGGATGACTTTTTTCTTTATTTATACCCTCAAAATCCTTCAATTAATTTATTCGACGCTGCACCGCTGTGAAAACATTTTTACAACCCATTACACGCGTGTATTCTTGAAGTCCTGCTAAAAATTGTAAGAAAAATTTTTTTTTATTAAAAGAATTAAAAATTCTCAAAATAAATTGGACGCGTCAATAGTTAAAATGAAAATTTTAAAAAATATAAATTACCAGGTGAAATATTAAAACCAGTTGCAGAATTTTTGTGCATATGGCATCGAGCTTTTGAAGTTCTAGCACAACGCACAAACTTCTCAATATCTTTAACTGCTTCATTTTTACGATACCTTGGTGTAAAACAATTTCCTCCGTGACAAACAGTGTCAACATTGTCGACTGGTAAATATAATTTTGGAATTTTAATATCTTTTTGTTTTACAAAGCAACATGAATTTCGTAAAGTTTGTTTACTCAGCGATGGTTGAGCATTGACGTACTTTTTTGACTGAGCTCGTGTGGGCTCTTGAATCGTCAAACTTTCGTTAACTTTCAGATTAGGTACACTTGGCTTACTAAAATAATATATATAAAGTTTAAATATTAGCAAGAATTAATTTATTTAATTTAATAAACTGTTAAAATAAATTAATTTAATATGACGACAGATATTAGAAATTTTTTATAATTTTAAAGTAGTCAAATTATTACAAAAAAAATGGTAATTATTTACAAGTAGGGTCAACTCTATTTTGAAAATTTTTATTCTGCTTGTTTTTTACGGTGCATTTATGGTAAAAAGTGTCGTAAAAAAAAAATAAAGATTTCGATAGCTTTTTTTGCCTTTAAAAATTGGAAAAAATATTGGCTCATGTTTTTGGATAAAATCGAAATTACCAAAAAAAATTAAATAGAAAAAATTCCACAAGTGAAAATTAAAAAAAATGATTAGTATAAATTTTTTAGAAGCATTTTTATTATGTAATTAATTTTTTAATAGAATTAAAAAAAATGACAGCTGTCTGCTAACTTGACTATCATTAATTTAATAGTAAATCAAGCTTACTTGCTAGTTGAAGAAGCAATTGTACTACAAGGAGCACAAGGTGTGTAACAAATTTTTGTAATCCGTCTCTTTGGAACCTTCATCTTTTCTTCTGTAATTAAAGACATAAATCCACGAAATAATGCTTTTTTAACTGCGCTCTCATATTTAAGCTTATCTCTTCTTAATTTATCGTTCTCTCGACTAATTTCTGATATTTGTTCTTTTAACTAAAACATTAAAATTATAAACTTAAATTTTTTCATAGTGGTGTTTTTTCGATTTTTATTTTTTTTTTTTCTGAAAATTTTTTAGAATTCTTACAGAACTTCTAATTTAAGAAAAAAAAAATTTTAATGTTAATCACAAAAAAAAATTACATTGAAGTTAACTGACATTAGAAATTTTTTTATAATTTTATAACAATGAAATTATTATGAAAAAAATTTCACATGTGGAAATTTTTTATTGTAATTGATTTGTTATAGAAATTAAAAAAATTAAAAATAATAAAATTTTGTGAAAAAAATACCCCTATAGTTAAATTTCTATAAAATCGAATAAAACATATAAATAAACTTACTTCTGCTTCGCGTTTGTCTCGTTCATCTTCCTTGCGCTCTTTGTCATAATCACCACTTTGTCTAAACAAATCAAAACTATTGAACGATTTTGGCTGAGTGATATTAATAATAACAGGTTTTTCTTTAACAGGAATCTGTAAATTCGTTTGGGATGACAAGCGCTGTTCGTAAATAACAGAAGTACCAGAATTGCGGATAGATTGATTGGAAGTTTGATTTCCACTATTCACCGAAGCTCGTAAAATTGACATCCTTAATGCCGATACATCCGGTAAGTTTGCGCTTTGATCTAACGCTCTAACAGCCTCAGGAGATTTTATTCCTAAATTATCTTTATCTTTATCTTCATCAGAATCAGAATCAATCAGCGTCAGAGAAGATTGTTGCTCTAGAATCCGAGGCAAAGACCGAGAAATGGGAGTCTCTTCTTCTACATCAAAAATTCTATCCGAAATTTCGTGCCTGTAAGTAGGCTGTGTCCGTTTTGCCTCTTCGGTTCCTACTTCCATGCTGGACATGTCCAGTAAAACCGTCTGACGATCAACGGATTCAGAAGAAACGTTGGAAACGATCGTTTGACTCGCAGACATGTTAGCCAGGGCAACTGGGACTTTTCGTTGGGATATTATACTTCCTAATTTTCGAGGCTGAGTAACCGAAACTTTTTCTGGATTTACATTGTCTTTCTCACTGACCATAGGTAATTCGATAGCTTCAACTTCATGCTCGGAATTTTTAGATCCAATTGGAAAAGCATTGGTGGCTTTAGCAACTGAAAAAACTACCGAGTGCTCGGCAGTAACGAATTCAGGCCGCAATACATTGTCACTGGAGATTTTTAATGAAGAAGACAATGAAATTGTTGTCACGTGTGTTACTCCGGTTGTTGACACGTTTGGGCATAGAGGAGCTATGAAATATTCTGAGCCTGGTTCAAGTGAATCTGGATTTAAAGGAGAAATAGAAGCTATGTTCAGTGAATTTGAAGTTTCTTCTGTATGTTTCATCGCTTCCTATTAAAGAAAAATTATTCTTAATTATTCTACTGAAGTTAATTCACAAAAAATTGTTTAAGGTAGTTGTCGTCGTTAAGGCATACCGTCAGAAAATTCTAAATTTTTGTATACTTATTAAGGACATGATGATACAATCACCCTTAAAATTTGAAGTCGATTGACCACCTATAACCCGAGATGAATTTAATTAAAAATTGGATACTTAACATTGATTGCATATGCTCTCTGCAGTTCTGTACCAGTTTTTTAATTATAAAAAAAAAACTACGTCAGAAACTTTCAAAAAACTGACAGCCTTTTAATGTATTTATTGTGAGTTTAAAAAAAATTTTTTTTTATTTTTGACCGTCTAATCTATAGTATTAAGAGAATAAGCAAAATTTTGTGGCCGGTGTATTTATATGATAAAATGGGTTTTTATGGTTAAATTTGGTATCATTGGAAAAGTCTTGACCTGGAGTTGTGCCTTTTCATGGTTTCATATCATTCTCACCAATAGTCTATTTATGATGATAAGTATTTAGGCTGCATTCGAAAATGCTCTATCTCTAGATACATAATTAAGAAATGACCTAGTATCTCGTGGACTATTGACATTTTTAAAGATATAAGCTCAGCTCGATGTTACACTCATCAAGACCTTTCATTTAAGTACCCACATCAATTTTTCATATATTTATATAAATCGTATATATGTATATATGAAAAATATACCAAAAATGCATGTGGTTACTCAAATGAAAGCTCTTGATGAGTGTAACACCGGGATGAGCTTATAT